TGAGGCTCGTGGCGGATATCGTTATTTTCTCACCTTCACAGATGATTTAAGCAGATATGGGTATATTTACTTAATGAAACATAAGTCTGAAACATTTGAAAAGTTCAAAGAATTTCAGAGTGAAGTTGAAAATCATCGTAACAAGAAAATAAAGTTTCTACGATCTGATCGTGGAGGAGAATATTTGAGTTACGAGTTTGGTGTACATTTAAAAAACTGTGGAATAGTTTCGCAACTCACGCCACCCGGAACACCACAGCGTAATGGTGTGTCCGAACGTCGTAATCGTACTTTACTAGATATGGTGCGATCTATGATGTCTCTTACTGATTTACCGCTATCATTTTGGGGATATGCTTTAGAGACGGCCGCATTCACGTTAAATAGGGCACCATCAAAATCCGTTGAGACGACGCCTTATGAACTATGGTTTGGCAAGAAACCAAAGTTGTCGTTTCTTAAAGTTTGGGGCTGCGAGGCTTATGTGAAAAAGCTTCAACCTGATAAGCTCGAACCCAAATCGGAGAAATGTGTCTTCATAGGATACCCAAAGGAAACTGTTGGGTACACCTTCTATCACAGATCCGAAGGCAAAACATTCGTTGCTAAGAATGGATCATTTCTAGAGAAGGAGTTTCTCTCGAAAGAAGTGAGTGGGAGGAAAGTAGAACTTGACGAGGTAACTGTACCTGCTCCCTTACTGGAAAGTAGTTCATCACAGAAAACTGTTTCAGTGACACCTACACCAGTTAGTGAGGAAGCCAATGATAATGATCATGAAACTTCAGATCAAGATACTACTGAACCGCGTAGATCAACCAGAGTAAGATCCGCACCAGAGTGGTACGGTAATCCTGTTCTGGAGGTCATGCTACTAGATCATGATGAACCTACGAACTATGAAGAAGCGATGGTGAGCCCAGATTCCGTAAAGTGGCTTGAAGCCATGAAATCTGAGATGGGATCCATGTATGAGAATAAAGTATGGACTTTGGTTGACTTGCCCGATGATCGGCAAGCAATTGAGAATAAATGGATTTTTAAGAAGAAGACTGACGCTGATGGTAATGTTACTGTCTACAAAGCTCGACTTGTCGCAAAAGGTTTTCGGCAAGTTCAAGGAATTGACTACGATGAGACCTTCTCACCCGTAGCGATGCTTAAGTCCGTCCGAATCATGTTAGCAATTGCCGCATTTTATGATTATGAAATTTGGCAAATGGATGTCAAAACTGCATTCCTAAATGGATTTCTGGAAGAAGAGTTGTATATGATGCAACCAGAAGGTTTTGTCGATCCAAAGGGAGCTAACAAAGTGTGCAAGCTCCAGCGATCCATTTATGGACTGGTGCAAGCCTCTCGGAGTTGGAATAAACGTTTTGATAGTGTGATCAAAGCATTTGGTTTTATACAGACTTTCGGAGAAGCCTGTATTTACAAGAAAGTGAGTGGGAGCTCTGTAGCATTTCTGATATTATATGTGGATGACATATTACTGATTGGAAATGATATAGAATTTCTAGATAGCATAAAGGGATACTTGAATAAAAGTTTTTCAATGAAAGACCTCGGTGAAGCTGCTTACATATTAGGCATTAAGATCTATAGAGATAGATCAAGACGCTTAATTGGACTTTCACAAAGCACATACCTTGACAAAATTTTGAAGAAATTCAAAATGGATCAAGCAAAGAAAGGGTTCTTGCCTGTGTTACAAGGTGTGAAATTGAGTAAGACTCAATGCCCGACCACTGCAGAAGATAGAGAGAATATGAAAGATGTTCCCTATGCATCAGCCATAGGCTCTATCATGTATGCAATGCTGTGTACCAGACCTGATGTGTGCCTTGCTATAAGTTTAGCAGGGAGGTACCAAAGTAATCCAGGAATGGATCACTGGACAGCGGTCAAGAACATCCTGAAATACCTGAAAAGGACTAAGGATATGTTTCTCGTATATGGAAGTGACAAAGAGCTCATCGTAAAAGGTTACGTTGATGCAAGCTTTGACACTGATCCGGACGATTCTATATCGCAAACCGGATACGTGTTTACATTAAACGGTGGAGCTGTCAGTTGGTGCAGTTCTAAACAAAGCGTCGTAGCGGGATCTACATGTGAAGCGGAATACATAGCTGCTTCGGAAGCAGCAAATGAAGGAGTCTGGATGAAGGAGTTCATATCCGATCTAGGTGTCATACCTAGTGCATCGGGTCCAATGAAAATCTTTTGTGACAATACTGGTGCAATTGCCTTGGCAAAGGAATCCAGATTTCACAAAAGGACCAAACACATCAAGAGACGCTTCAACTCCATCCGGGAACTAGTCCAGGTGGGAGACATAGAGATTTGCAAGATACATACGGATCTGAATATTGCAGACCCGTTGACTAAGCCTCTTCCACGAGCAAAACATGATCAGCACCAAAGCTCCATGGGTGTTAGATTCATTACAGTGTAATCTAGATTATTGACTCTAGTGCAAGTGGGAGACTGAAGGAAATATGCCCTAGAGGCAATAATAAAGTTATTATTTATTTCCTTATAATCATGATAAATGTTTATTATTCATGCTAGAATCGTATTTACCGGAAACATAATACATGTGTGAATACATAGACAAACAAAGTGTCACTAGTATGCCTCTACTTGACTAGCTCGTTAATCAAAGATGGTTATGTTTCCTAACCATAAACAATGAGTTGTTATTTGATTAACGAGGTCACATCATTAGTAGAATGATCTGATTGACATGACCCATTCCATTAGCTTAGCACCTGATCGTTTAGTATGTTGCTATTGCTTTCTTCATGACTTATACATGTTCCTATGACTATGAGATTATGCAACTCCCGTTTACCGGAGGAACACTTTGGGTACTACCAAACGTCACAACGTAACTGGGTGATTATAAAGGAGTACTACAGGTGTCTCCAATGGTCGATGTTGGGTTGGCGTATTTCGAGATTAGGATTTGTCACTCCGATTGTCGGAGAGGTATCTCTGGGCCCTCTCGGTAATACACATCACATAAGCCTTGCAAGCATTACAACTAATATGTTAGTTGTGAGATGATGTATTACGGAACGAGTAAAGAGACTTGCCAGTAACGAGATTGAACTAGGTATTGGATACCGACGATCGAATCTCGGGCAAGTAACATACCGATGACAAAGGGAACAACGTATGTTGTTATGCGGTCTGACCGATAAATATCTTCGTAGAATATGTAGGAGCCAATATGGGCATCCAGGTCCCGCTATTGGTTATTGACCAGAGACGTGTCTCGGTCATGTCTACATTGTTCTCGAACCCGTAGGGTCCGCACGCTTAAGGTTACGATGACAGTTATATTATGAGTTTATGCATTTTGATGTACCGAAGGTTGTTCGGAGTCCCGGATGTGATCACGGACATGACGAGGAGTCTCGAAATGGTCGAGACATAAAGATTGATATATTGGAAGTCTATGTTTGGACATCGGAAGTGTTCCGGGTGAAATCGGGATTTTTACCGGGTTACCGGGAGGTTACCGGAACCCCCCGGGAGCCATATGGGCCATCATGGGCCTTAGTGGAAAGGAGAAAGGGGCAGCCCAAGGGGGCTGCGCGCCTCCCCCCTTCCCCTAGTCCTATTAGGACTAGGAGAGGTGGCCGGCCACCCCTCTCCCTCTTTCCCCCTTGGGAATCCTAGTTGGAATAGGATTGGGGGGGGGAGTCCTACTCCCGGTAGGAGTAGGACTCCTCCTGCGCCACCTCCTCCTGGCCGGCGCCTCCTCCCCCCCTTGGCTCCTTTATATACGGAGGCAGGGGCACCTCTAAACACACAAGTTGACACAAGTTGATCCACGTGATCGATTCCTTAGCCGTGTGCGGTGCCCCCTGCCACCATATTCCTCGATAATACTGTAGCGGAGTTTAGGCGAAGCCCTGCTGCTGTAGTTCATCAAGATCGTCACCACGCCGTCGTGCTGACGAAACTCTTCCCCGACACTTTGCTGGATCGGAGTCCGGGGATCGTCATCGAGCTGAACGTGTGCTCGAACTCGGAGGTGCCGTAGTTTCGGTGCTTGATCGGTTGGATCGTGAAGACGTACGACTACTTCCTCTACGTCGTATCATCGCTTCCGCAGTCGGTCTGCGTTGGGTACGTAGACAACACTCTCCCCTCGTTGCTATGCATCACATGATCCTGTGTGCGCGTAGGAAAATTTTTGAAATTACTACGAAACCCAACACATGGTCCATACCTTTGTGGGCAAAGTGTCGAACACCTTGCGGTCGTGGTGGCAAAGTGGCCGCGATGATCACCTCGATGCATGTGTGGTCTGCGGCCGGCTACTGGCCGCTCTGGAACACTTGTTGGAAGATGTCGTCGCCGCCGTGATATGTCGCTTGCGGTCGTATCCCCTCTGCCGCCGGCTACGATGGCGACGTCCAAACCCTCCTCCTATCGACAGCCTAAACTACGGCGAAAGCACGGGCATGGTGGCGGCCATGTCGAGACGTGGTTGGTTATGGACGGCCGGGGGCTGCATGGAGAAGGCGACCGGAGAATAGCAGTGGCGCCGTCGGCGAGGCGGGGAGGGGGAGGGGGATGGAGGCGTTGGAATCGAATGGGACTACTTGTGTCCCCGACAGGCGGGCCACGGGGGACAAGGGCGTGCGGCGAGCCCGTCCGCGCGATGTCCGTTTCACTCCAAACTCGGCGCAAGTTTGGACCGGGGATGGGTCAAAAACAGACGGATTCCGGACATTTGTCCGTTTGCGGCCGCGCGTTGGGTCGCGCTATTCGTCCATTCTACCCCAAACGGACGCACCCGGCCAAGATGGGGTCGGGCGGTGGAGATGGCCTAAGTAGCCGGTTCACCTATATGTACATCTTGGAGAGGTATATATAAATGGAGAACGGTGAAGCAATCATGGTTGCTCAGATGCTTATGTGTATATTATGCACACACGCACACGCTAGCTAGCGACCGACTGCACACATACATAGGAATGGCGCCGGCGGCAAGCGACGTCTTGAAGAAATCAGCGTTCCGGTGCCTCGGCGCGGCGCGCTACGTGGTGGCCGCCGCGGTGACCGTGCTCATGGTCGCGGTCATCATGTATGCCGTCAAGGTGGTCCACCGCCCCGATGACCTCACCCTCTGGATCGTCGGCGGCTCCGTGTCCGTGCAGCGAAGCCACAACCTGACCAGGCCGTTCAACTACAGCGTCGGCGGCGACAATCTGACCTTCACATACACCGTGAGGGCCGTCAACCCCAGCAGCCGCGTCCGCATCTACTACACCGATCTCATCGTCTATCTCCGCGGCAGGAACTCGTCGTCGGAGATGCACAGTTTCTTGGCGCTAATATTCCCGAACATGACAGTGGAGCACCAATCCAGGGCCGACACGTCAGTGCTGGTGAGGACCAATGTGCGTGTACCGTCCCAGGGGTTCTACTTCCAGGCGCTAGCCAACGGCGGCAGCATCGCTGACGTGTCGCTCAAGCTCAACGGCACCCGCGTCGTCCAGAATATTTTCACCGAGCACAACATGACCAGCGAGCAAGCCGTCTACTACTGCACGCCCATCACCTTTGGCGGAGGCAAGTACGAAGACGGTGACGCCGGGGTCGATGTACCGTGCACAGAGGATGCCCCGACTACCATTCTTGATGATCCCCTGCCTGTTAGCCAATTGAATTGATGCACATTTTGTGATTAATGAACTTTTCTTTATATGTTCTGTTTATCACCTGCAAGGTGATCTATACCTGGCCGGTTTGATTGTTCACTCTACAATGCTCGTATTGTGGCACACACACACGTGGCCTTGTTATGAAGAGCAGTATTGCTCCTGTTTTGACTATGTTGACATGTTTACTGTTTGGCCCACTCTTCTTATCATGTAAGTTGATGATTGATAATTATTGGAGAACCAAAAACATGCTCAACATTTTTATTTGTCATGCTCTACATCATCAGTTGCTTCCTTAACATGGTTTACTGTCCAAAGTATTAACTTTTTTGTAGCATTTCACCACCCAGTCAATGTCATCGAATTTCTCAAGTCTTAGTGTGATTAACATGGGAATGCTTGAATTGAGTAGTCGCAGTTGTAATTAATATGTCTTGTAATCTATGCATTCCCTTAGGCTGACTATAGTGGGGGTAACATAAGTAGTATCATGCACTTGGGACTCGCAAACATGCTTATGTGGCAGGCAATTAAAGAAGAGAGAGATGGTTATAGTAACATAGGTAGATACCATAACATAATAAATGTGATGCTACTATGTGTCATGCATGGCAATAAATGAGACCACCTATGATACTATACACTATAAAGGTAGTAACATAGACTAGTAATATATGCATGTTACTAGTCTAAGTTACTCCCCACTATGACCAGCCTAAGTAGTATCATGCACTTGGGACTCGCAAACATGCTTATGTGGCTGGCAATTAAAGAAGAAAGAGAGGGCTAGTGTAACATAGGTAGATACCGTATCATGTTAAATGTTATGCTACTTTGTGTCATGCATGGCAATAAATATGATCATCTATGATACTACTTTATGATACTATGCATTATGGAGGTAGTATCATATACTAGTATCATATGCATGATACTAGTATATGATACTCCCCACTATGACTAACATTCACATCTCAATTTAAGCATTCCCATGCATGCAAATTAAATGTTTCTTTCAATCGCCTTTGTTGAGGACACATGATAGGTTTGTGAAAACAACCTCAAACATAACGCTGACCTATCACAGTGCGTTTTGGTCACGATGCAGCTCCCTAATTGTTGGACAACGTGGGAGAGAGTAATAGGATGCCGGCGCTAATTGTTGGACAACGTTGTGATGTGGAGGCCGGTACGAAGAGGAGGGAAGATTCGTGGTACCATATCCCCTCGCTCATGGGTTGCCTGACCCATGCGTGTGTGTGCATGGCCTGGGCGTTTGCTCATGCACGACCTCCACCACTCCAGCAAACTCCATGGAGACGTACACGTCCACGACAAATGCACATGTACGCGTCCATATGCATGGTGTGCACACAGCAATGCAAGGACACGAAAGCAAAACGATGTCAAACAGGCTTGTCATACTGGAGCAGCTCCAACGGTCGATGATATGCAAAAGATGGCCGCAAACTGAGAATCTATCACGGCATGCATGCATGTAGCACACGCAAAGCAAAAGATCATACCCTGCCTTCCATCTGCATGTGAATAAAGGAAAAGTGAGCATGTATAATCTTTCGGCCAACCTGCAAAATCTCATAGGGGCAAATACACACGGCAAGTATTGTTCAGGTCGGCATCGGCATCGTCTCTGATGCTTTCCTGCCAATGCTGTACCAGGTTGCTCGACTGATTGACTATGCACACGAGTGGGAATATCGTGCCTCGTCGTCACACATGCAAATGCTTCAGAGTTCTATGTATTAGGTTTCCCGGTGGCTATGTATCTACTCCCTTTGGTTTAGTTCCCCATACATGCTTCTGCATCATATGTGGCATATTTCCGTCGCATGTACAATATGCTTCCAAGTATCCTTCATGTTTGCTTCATTCTTAACACCACACAACTATGTCAATGCTTCGGTACTATTTTGTTTCTGCAACAACATCTATCAAACAGTTTTTCTATAGATCATTAAGAAGGACATAAAATGCATCCGCTGGAATCAAAATAAAAAGATTGCAAATAAAATTGTAGGCAATCTATGTTTCTGTTTAAGTAATTATCTACATTGGCCACTGAAGCAAAACATATTTTCTTGCGACTAGGGAGCACATGTGTATAAGTTCCCTATAGCATTCCGGAGCACATAGCCAAAAACCGTAAGTTTTTGTTCTAATGCTATGGTGCAAAATCCACTTCAAGAAAGAAAAGATCATTTCCCATGTGTAATTATATCTTGTTTCCAAAAAAATTATAAGTCATAAGAGCATCTCCAGCCGGACCCTCCAAACCCGCCTCAAACGCCCGGGCGGACGGCCCAGTCACTGATTGACACCCCTCATATCTAGCGCAAATATGGGTTGGATATGGGGGCACCCGGGCACGTCCACCACGTCGTACCCAGCCCGCGCTGACCCACCCGACCCCACCATATAATCCTCCCCATCTGCTCGCCGGACCAAACTCTAGCCACTTCACTCTACTCCCCTCCGCCTCCCAAGCTCTTGTCCAGCGATCTCCGACCGTCTCCAGCATGGCGGGCAGCGGGTCCGAGTCCTTCACCTTCAGATCCGTCGACCTCGAGCTCATCCCACGTGGCCCCGAGGAGGAGATGGTCATCCGGCTTGCGCTTTGCTGCTCCCAGGAGGAGGACCATGCGAAGCAGCTCTCAGACTCGTTCCGTCGGGAATCCATTGCATTTGCCCAAATGGCACATGGATCTGGCGCTAGGTTTGTCGTCGCTGCCTCGCCCGAGGCGGTGCGGTCCGTCTGGTGTCCTAAAACGATGGCGGACGCGCAACCCCTCCGTTGGCGCTCCGAGGCCATGGATGCATCATGGGCGTTGTCCGACGCAAACATAGTGCGGTGTGCCCACCGTGCGAGGCAGTGGGCATGAGAGGAGGCGGCCCTTGCGGCAGTGGACATCAGAGAGGCGGGGTCGCCCTCTCCGGCATCCTGACGGATAGCCTGCAACCCCGCGCGCGCACACCCGAGTCGTCATGGATGTCAGCGGCTTCTCCCAGGACGGATCCACCATCCATCTGACATCCACCGGCACCATTCGGGTTCTGGGCCTCGACGAGGAAGAGTAGGGCATGGGAGACGGCGGCACCTTGAGTCCCGTGAGCCTGCTTGTGTCCCATGCCTTACTCTACCTTACCGGCGACCGGACCAACACACTGGAAGCGCAGCCGGCCACCGGACATGGGTACGGCGGAACCGGACGAGCTCCACTTAAAGATTGGTTTACATTGCACACATGCATGTGATAATATAAATTTGAGGCGTTTGGTTGTAGAATCAAATATTTGAGGCGTGACCAGTCAGTCTCCGCGGACGCGTCCTGGCGAGTCGACATGCGTTTGAGGGGTCAGATTTTCCAAGTTTGGTTGTAGGTGCTCTAACTTTTGAACCGAATGTCGAAATTAGTTTTCTGGCAATAAACATTTCAAAACAAGATCCCATATGGCTATGTTTCAATTTTTTTCCTTCATTAAATTTGTTGCCAAGAAGAAGCAACTTGTGTACTACATTAAGCAAATTTCAGTTAGGTTGTATATCATGGTCATCTATCATCGCAATATTCTTTTGAGTTGCCTAGCATCACCTATAAGTTGACTATCATAACTACCTATGAACTTTGGTGCTACATGAAACACCTTGTTGCTAGCTTGTCTATCATGACTACCTATCAACTCAATGTTGTTATAAAGTTGGCTATCATGACTATCAAGTTGCCTAGCGTCACCTATGAAGTTGCTTTCGATAAACTTTTTTAAAGCAACTTTGGTACCACGGAGACACAACTTTTATACTACAGTACGCAACTTCGGTTAGACTGTGTGTCATGGTTACCTATGACCCCGATGTTCTTTTGAGTTTGATATGATGACTACCAAATTGCGTTGCATCACCTGTACGTTGCATAGCGTGACTACCTATCAACTTCCGTGTTACACGAGGCACCTTGTTGCCAGGTTTCCTATCATGACTACCTAGCGACTCAATACTCTTATAAAGTGGGCTATCATGATTGTCATGTTGCCTAGTGTCACCTATGAAGTTGCTTGCGATGTACCTTTTTTGTCATGCAACTTTTCTGCAACAGATAGGCAATTTTTTCTTAGGGCTATGTATCATGGTCACCTATGATCCCAAAAATGTTCTTTTGAGTTGGCTACGATGACTATCAATTTTTCTATCATCACCTGTAAGTTGCCCACCATCACTACCTATCAACTTTGCTGCTACATGAAGCACCTTGTTGCCAGGTTGCCTATCATGACTACATATCAACATAATGCTCTTATAAGTTGGCTAGTGACTCTCAAGTTGCCTAGCATCACCTATGAAGTTTCTTTGGACAAATTTTCTCTTTCTTCATGATAGGCAACTTTGGTGCCATGAGGAAGCAACTTTTGTACTACAATATGCAATTTTCACAAGTAGGCAATCGATGGCATGCAACTGAGAGTCATGAATAGGCAACTAATTTGCAGTGTCAAGGAAATTATCAGTCACAATAGGTGATAAAAATTAGAAAATAAAGACAACTAAGCATCAACAATAAGCGACTTCGTAGTATTGTAGGCAACTTAGAGACAATGGTAAGGAGAATGAGCATCCATTGGTAGACAACTTACATGCCATGACAGGAAAAGTGTGGAGAATGTTACAAAAATTTACTCATAAAATTATACATGCATTCACAACATAGTTTCAAAGGTAGATAACCTTAGCAAGAACGGCGGGCAACCTCTCGCAATACTTTAAGTAACTACTCTATCCGTCTCATAATACAAGATGTTATTACATGGAATATGTGAGTATATTTGATGTAATAACGTCTTATATTATGAGACGGAGGGAGTATTTAGAAAGGACATACAACTAACATCAACAGTAGGCAAATAATTAGCAAAATGTCAAGGAACTTAGCAGTCCCAGTAGCCTTCTAGAAAAACAGGAAAGTGTAATAGTTGAGCATGAACCGTACGAGCCTTCG